TGACATACTTCATGAAAAATATTATATCAGAAGAATTGGAACAAGGCCACTAATCAATTCACTGTTTCGTTTTATTCTCAGAAATAGCTCTGTAAGTTTTCTTACTTCGTAAATGTTTTTATACAAGTATAATCAGACAACGCTAGAAAAAGTACAAATGTAAACACTAATGTCTCTTTTTGCAGTTTGAGCCAGACGTGGTAAGCAATGGAGTTCGTGTTGTTGCTATAGGTCCGACTGTTGTTGACACAACTCTGGTTCCCATTGTCTTGGAGAAAGGGACGAAATACACAAATGAAATGAAACAAGTTTTAGCAGGCTTGCCAGTGCTAAAGTAATGTAGATATGCTTATAATAAAATGAGCTTTCCTTCTAAACATCGAATTGTATATGACTGGGAAAAAAGTATCCAGGGAATTCAAACAGCTTACCCAAGAGTTTAAACCTATTAAGTTTAAACCTAGTAAATAATACTATTAAGTAAGACATGAATTCTTAGCCACATTCCGGGTAGCTAACAACTAAATATCACTCAGAAAGAAATAGTACTGTTCAGTAAAAATACTTGTTTTTGGTTGGAGGCGTCTCCGTCCGATGTGTTACACAATAGATTTAACGGAAATTAAATGAAATGAAATGTACAAAAAACACATATTCAATTGCATTGAGAAGTCATGATCAGCAGGTCAAGTTTTAAACTATTCAACAGCTATCTTTTAATCCTAGAGCGACAGCAGAACTATATCCTAGTTATGAAGCTAGGTTACGAATTTATCTATTTAAATAGATATGTACTATAGCCACATTACGGAGATATATGTACTATGGCCTGGTTATGAGGATATCTGTAGTATGGCCTGGTTATGAGCCTTGCTGTACTATAGACAGGTTATGAAGATATCTGTAATATAGCCTGGTCGTGATGATAGCTGTACTATACTCCGGATATGAGAAAATATGTAGTATAGCCTGGTTACGAATATATCTTTACTATGGCTAGGTTATGAGGATATGTGTATCATCTAGACCACAAAACACAGAGAAATATACCAACCGCGTTATCCTGTGCGTCAATATCAACCCAAAATATGGAACGTGTAAATCTGACACTGACTTACCATACCATTTCTGTATTCACAGTTTATTAAACTTCATTATACATAACATAAGAATCATTGTTTTTGTATATCCTGAGACATAGTAGTATACTTGAAACCCCGTCAGTGCAGTCATGAATAGCAAATGGTTACTCCTTCTTTTGGCCTCTACTTGGTCTCTGTCAAAAACAAAATCAAATTGATTGCTATTTCGGCAAAAGGCTACAATGATTGACATGAAAATACTGATTAATTTATCTTGTAGCGAATACATGATACTTTTGCCTGATGCGTTTGTGAATAGATTTAATCTCAAGTAGCTTCCCTGAACATTTCATTTCCATCTGAAGAATGGATTTGTATTTTCTGAATTTCACAGTATATCTAACATATACTATATTTTGTGTTTAATTAGATGTAATGTATAGTGTGTCACTTATCGTATCAAGAACCCTTATTTATCATGCCTTGCCACTCCCCATACTATCATTTTCCTTTTCAGCGAAGTGTTGAATAGTAAAAAAAAAAACAAGTGGTTAGTGTGAAACAAAATTTATCAAATACGAACATGTTGTAAATTACAGATGACTGCGGGCAGGGAACACTTGCTTTGCTACTATATCCTACTAAATTGGTATGAAAAGACTTAAGGTAGCGGGACTATTATTTGCATACTTGTTTTCATCTTCTAATTGTGACTAAATGACTACAAATAGACCCGGGAAAGTATATATTTTTAGAATCGCCAGACTTCAAGCTTTTCACAAGTGTATTTTGCATGCCCGTATCTGCATTCTACGACACGTTACT